GGCCACTGCCCACAGGCCTGTGCCCCCACAGCATGCGGCCACCCCTCTGCTCCACACCCAGTTGCATGCGTGCCCCTGAGTTTCATAAGCCAAGGGGGCCAGAGTGCTCTCACTCGGAGCCACCCCAATGCTCATCCCAGTCTCCACGCCCAGACTTACAAAGGGCTCCACCTTCTGTGGGCCACATACGTACACACGAGCTTATGCACACACATCCACACATATACACACACACATAAACACAAACATGCACACACACATAAAACAAAGCCTATACATAAACATAACATGCACACATGTGGACACACAGGTATTAACATACATATATTAACATGCACACATATACATACACAATACAGGCATATGTACACATGCATAAGCACACACACATATGTATATGCCCATATGAACCGCTACCTGCCTCCCCAGCTGCCAGGAGCCACCCTGGGAACCTCCTACCAAGACCTGGGCAGTGCAGGGGACAAACACGCTGTTAATGTGCTCCTGGGCCAACAGGACTTCCCAAAACCTCACCTGTGGCCCAGGGGCTGGGTGGCTCAGGGCTGTCGGACCGTTTCCCCTAAAAGCCAGGAAGGGGCCTGTGGGCAGGGAGCTGACTCCGTGCAGGGCTGCCACCCTCTGTGGACAGGGTCTTGTGGCCTCTCTCCAAAGGCAGCTCACGGTTGCCCAGGCCGCTGGCCCAGAACACACTGCTGTGCATCCTCCGTCCGGCAGGAGGGGGATTGGGACTTGATTCGAACCCAGGATTTGAACCCAGGTCTGAGGCACCCTGGGTGCCCAGTTCTGGTCACAGTATAAGGGATACTCCAGCCCACTCAGGCTTGAATGGGAGGAGACGGAGGGAGCTTCCCGAGCCTCCAGCCCCACCCCTGCTCTCCTGGGAGACCAAGCAGGATGGACTGAAGCCCACTGAGGCCCTGCAGAACTTGAGGGGTTGGTGACTGACCCCCTCCCATTGGGCCTGACTCCACTCTGCCATGGACCCCAATCCTGAGAACAGTGCGGAGCAAGGAGCCGCATGGGAGTCCTGCCTGTCCGCCCGGAGCCCATTTTCACATCTGCTGGGGTGACAGACCGAGGACCCCAACAAAGCTATGAGGTTCATCGCCTGGCCCTCCCCTCTGGCATCCCTGCCCTGAGCCCGGTTCTCTCCCGTCTGTAAACTGGCTGGCGGGATGGGATGAGGGGTCCGAGTGGTGGCTGACAGCGGAGGAGGGCTGTCCAGGAACGGAGACCTGACTGGCCTGGCAGGGCCGGGGTGTCCCCCATCGGAGCTGCCATCGGGACCACTGCACAGGCTGTGTCGGCACCGCCTGGGGCCACATCGGCCCACAGCATCCCCAAACCGTCCCACTCAGCCAGCAAGAGGTCTCCACCCGCTCCAGGCAGGAAGTTTGGTGGGGGACGGAGAGGGTGTTTCCGGTGGCAGCTGGGCTGTAGGCTGGGCACACCCACTTCCTGTGGGCTCAGCACTGGCCTTCAGTGACCCTGCGGCCACATCCACGTCACCTTTTAGAACTTGGCTAAGACCGTGTCAGCCTTGGAATCTGCCGGGAAAGCAGAAAGGAGAGGAGCAAAGGTCCCCCAGCACCTCAGGCTGCGCGTGGCCGAGGTGGCCGGAGCCTTGCCCATCCTGTCCCACCCCCCGTGCTGTCCTCAGCTGGCCACAGTCCCAGAATCTGCTGCAGCCGTGTCCCCGGCTGCCCCAACCCAAGCCCCCAGGCAAGACATAGCTGCAGGCCACTTTCACAATAACACTGACCCTCACCATTCCTCCTGCCATTAGCAAAAAGGAGCTGACTTACAGAAAACATTTCCGGGAGGGCCAGGGAGGGCTGGGCAGATGGGCCTACGTGCTCGAGCACACGGAGAGAGGCATCTCGGATCTCCCCACTGCCCTGGCCCAGAGGGGCTTGTCTGCCCACAGGTTACATGTCTGACTCCTCCGTAGGCCTGGCCACCTGCGGGGTGAACCATACCACCCCACTTCACAGACGAGAAAACTGAGGCTGGATCGACTCTGCACCTGCCCACGGCTGCACGGCACAGTCAGGCTTCCCAGTTTGTTCTCCTGGGGCCAGGGGCACGCTGGGGACACAGCCCACACGCCCCTGAAGATGCCCTGGTTTATCCCTCCTCCCAGCAAACCTTTCTTCCCGCCCTCAGGCAGGTGCCTGAGGCTCCGATTCTGGCAGGGACATGAAGGGAAGGCCTAAGACGAGCCAGGAGAGTGTAGGGGGAGAGTCATGCATGTCCGGCGTTCGCCCGGGGAACACGCTGCCTGCGTCCCCACCAGGAGAGGGGGCGTGTGTGGAGGCGGGGACCCGCCACTTCACACATTAAACTCCTTTTAGTCCTCACAAATGACCTCGAGGAACGCACTGCTACCACCCCACTTCACAGATGAGAAACTTGAGGGCACAGAGTGATGCGCCCTTTGAACACAACAAGGCAAGGTCCTGGAGGATGGGAAAGGGAGGGAAGAAGCTGGGGGTGCAGGTGTCCGGGTTGGAAAGTGGGCAAGCTGGAGTGGCCCCTGTGGGCTTGCCCACCCCTTCCAGGGAGCCCCCCCACTTCGTGACCAAAGGAGCCCAGAACCAGTGTGTTGGCTCACGCAGGCTCCCCAGCAAGGGGTTGACCTCTTCATTCACACCTCCTCCCCAGCGGCCCACGTGCTTGGTGGCCCAGCCTGAGGGCCTTCCTCTCCCTATTCCCTCTGCCTCGGGTGCCCTACTCCACATCGTGGGGGGTAGGGGGCGCACCTGCACCACTCCAGTCCTCCAGGGCCCACTGCCATCACACCAGCCCCTGGGGCTTCTGTCTGCTCTGCTTACAGGATGCAGAGCCACCCCCTCCAGAGCCAATGCAGTGCCCCCTCCCCTCCAGAGCCAATGCAGTGTCCCCTCCCTCTCCAGAGCCAATGCAGTGCCCCTCCCCCTCCAGAGCCAATGCAGTGCCCCTTCCCCTCCAGAGCCAATGAAGGGGCCCTCCCCCTTCAGAGCAAAGGGGGGGGCCCTTCCCTTCCAGAAGATTACGGGGCCTTGCCCTTAGAGGAAAGAGGGGGGCCCACGCCCTAGAAAGCACGACGGGTGCCCATCTTACACCATTAAGGGTGGACACTTCTCTCTTGGGGATTAGGGGGGTGATCGTCTTCTCTGCGGACTTAGAGGGTGTTCCTTAGTATGCGGGAATAAATGTGTAAGTTCCAACCGATCCTTGAAAACGGGAGTTTTTTTAAGGCCTTTAACAGTTTTTTTTTATTCATCCACAGCTGCCA